AATGTTAGTATAATGAATACGAGAATTTGCACCTTAGTCATGGATGTTTATTGAGATATTTCTAGATGAAATATACGTATTCGTATATGTATTCTATCCGTTACCGTAGCATCCACACTTGCTTAATTTGAGGATAGGCTAATTGGTGTGAGTATGGGATACATATACATTACTCCCTGCCGCCCAGGACATCCGTGTTAACTTTAGTTTTTTTGAAAATCCCTTTGGAACTTAACATTTTTCAGGATAAAAAGTATTACACAATAGGGGGGAGACCAGGGCTGAAAGTTCCGATTTTCAAATAAGTGGAATTATATGATGAAAATGATAAGTTTTATTTTTGATATTCAAATTTATAAAAGAATTTTAATCGGTATTTTAATAGTATAGTAATTACTGCTGATATTGCAATAGTTTCTTTTCTACAGTCATATTTTTGCAAAATTTCGGAAGGGAACATTCGACCCCGCGTTGGGGCGCCAACACGGGGTTGAATGCCACTTGTTCCATGTGTGGGGAAAATTGTGCCGCTTGGATAATAGAAATTAAATATGAGAATAATATAGATTTCTTTTAAATAAAACAGTATTTTTAAAGTTACATTTATTGTGTGTTATAGTAAAACATTAACATAACAGGAAACCTCCAGATAAATGTTTCTTTAAAACTATAATAAGAGTCATCAAGTTAAAACTGTTATCAAATACATAACTGAATTTATTTTAACTAAATAACACAACTGGTATCCTCCAGACTAACGCTTCAATAATAAGTGTAATGACAAGTGAGATCACAACTTCAATTCTAATCAAATAACAAAACGAAACTTCTAACGTCCATATTTTTTACATTTAATGTATTCTTGGGTTAATTTTTTTTTTATTTTAGTGCAATTACAATGAAGACTAATCATCAGTCTTGTTTTAAGCAGTCATAATTAACTTTGGCAAATTCTTTTCTTATTAATTATTCAATTTTTCATCTGACTCACAATTTGGGACAGACCAGCAAGTAATACCAGCTTCATTTATACATTTAACCATTTTTTATTTTCTTCCATCTTGTATAACAGCATTGGCAGCTTGGTGTAATAACGATGTTGAAGTTTTACCGTTTGTAGGTACGTACCATTCTAAAAAAAGAAAAAAAAAACGTAAGTTGTTCCAGGGAACAACCAGCCCCTTTAGGAGGGAACTTGTAGCCCCATATTAAGTTTTTGTATAAAAACTGTCATACTAGCAAATTAAGAAATCAATTGAAAAAACATTAAAACAATAAGATACACAACTAATACCACTCTTAAATAGGAAAGATACACATAAATCGGTCAAAAATAAGTAAAAATGGACCAAAAAGACTAAACACGAAAAAAAATACTCACGTGGTGTTTAATAGCACGGTGAACACAGCCATTCGTCCGCCGCTGTCGGAGCAACGACGATAGATAACGCCAGCGCAGCGCATCATCTGATGCTTAAACGACGCTCTTCACGTGTATTGATATCTTTTTCCTTTACAAAGTTATAACTGTCGGAACAATTTGCCCGGGAACTTCCAGTCCCGGCCTCCCCTACATATACTATGTGGCAAATTAGGTAATAAATTATGAATGTACCAAATTTCAACCAAATCACTTAGTTGTTTTCGCGTGATTGAGTAACAACAATACAAAGACACAATCTTTCACATTTATAATATTAGTTGGATATAAAGAATTCTCAATTAATGTTGCAATGTAGGCATAAATTGTTTTTTTTAACACACACCCTTAACACACTAATTAGCCCAGCCTCAAAGTAAGCATTGTAATGTTTGTGTAATGGAATACTTTAGTAACGGATGGAATACATACATAAAATAAATACTTATCTAGAAAAATATATAAATATTCATAGCTTAGGTACAAATGCTCATCATACAAATATTTGTCCCATTGGTATTCGAATCCGAGACCTCTGAGTAGGCGATACCCTAAAGCCATTTACCACTTGGCCACAGAGGTTATCAAATATTTCCTGATTCTTAGAAATACATATCTTCAATTCTCAAATTGTGACTTTATCTTATTATCGTGAGTAGGGATGATGACGGAGTGAAGTAAATGAAATTCTATTTAGTGCGACAGCTGGATTATCAAAAAATTAATAGACACATATATTTTTTTATCAACCAAAAGTTCGAAAGATAAAGCACATCAAAGATTCACGTGACGTCACATCTAAGTAAAAGTTATACCAAGACATGACGTGATACGATATTTCAAATCAATTTACATCTCTGTGATGTTTTGAATATGTCAAAAAAAGAGGAAAAATCCATGTCCGGTACTTTACTTTTGTACGAAGCAAAAAAAATTTTTTTGCATTAATATTCATTTTTATTTTTGCGTAACTCACTGGACTAGACATTTTATAATAATAATAATATTGTATAATAATAAACAAAACATAAGAATTTATAATTAAATAAGTTGTAAAGAGATATTATCAATTAACTTAAGTATCGAAATATCTTTAAAAATTGAGGCCAGGACAAAGTCAATTTCGGCTTGACAACAACAAATTGTTTTACTTAATCGAGCCGAAGCCAGCTGTGGTGTAAACAAAAAGGAAGATGGATTCTGTCCACTTTGACTTAACTTTTTATTAAGGTCAAGAATTCAAAGGAAGTGGAGAAAAATAGATGCTTACTTTGGGACAAAATTAACTTCGTGTTAGGAGATATACCTACTAAAGTCATCGGCATAGTTAATACTATGTCAGTATGTAATAATAAATTATATATTAGAAACTCATTTTTGTATAATACAAAACATTAACATAATTATCAACACTAAATTCAACTGTAGGGTTATTAAGCAGGTATCAAAAACAAAGTTTAAAAGTCCCATACTACTAATATTATAAACGCAAAAGTTTAAATGAATGTTTTCAACTCTTTCACGCTAAAACTTCTAAACGAATTTGGATGAAATTCGGCATACATGTAGTTTATTACCTAAATTAACGCATTTAGAAAAATTCTAGGCTCCTGTGGGATTCTAAAAAACTAATTATAACACGGACGAAGTCGTGGGCGGAAGCTAGTTAATAATAAACAAGTTGTGTGTGCAATTTATTTGTAATAGAATTGCTTGTAAGGAACTGTCCCCTGCCCTGCCTTACTGCCATGGCTTCTGTAAAGCGACATGCGATAGATGGATCGATATTCAACGTCAAACAGTTATCTGTTGTGCATAATACAATTTATAGCCCAAAATGTCGTCAAACTGCCTGTTCCAGCGTAAATAAATAAAAGACGTAAAACAAATGACTGTCCCAATTATAATACCTCGTGATTCGGCATAGATGTAAGTGTTATTTATTCTTGTCATATCGATTCTTGTATTGTCATCATTCCTTTGGATGAATCGCCCATTTTTTCATTTGATTGAGAATAGGCTTTGGTCTTCTGTACGCCGCGTCATGATGCTTACTATAGAAATGTATTTTTGTGGATGCCGTAGGTGGTATTCGAACCCTTTCCGCCACGTCTGTATATATTTCGAACCATTGCAGCGTCAAAATCGTATTTAGCGTTAATACAAAAAGTCGAAATTGTACGAACGACGACGACGATGTTCACTGTGCGCTTCGCGATTGACATGTATTGACCGCCGACGCTGTGCCTGGCATTCATACGTCGATTATTGACATTTAGGCTGAAGTCAGACGCAACGTAAAGCTTTTAATAGGAGATCGTAGCCACCTCATGTGAGTACGTTTAAACACCAATCACGGTAACGACAGAATGTAGAATTCGGAGGTAAGTTTCAACATTAGTGTAGCAGTTTTCCTTGGAAGTCAGACTTACAAGAAATTGCAGCAGTTGTTTATCATTGTGAGTTGAATAATATCCGCTGTCTGCAGTGATTTTCTTTATAGTTATAAGTGCAATTTTGTACTCTGTTTATTTTAATATTTATAAATATACATTGCAATAAATTACTTCTTGAGATTTCAAAGCTATACAATTTAATTACAGTGATTTTTTTGCATATAAATTGAAGTAACTTTTAATTCATTAAGGATTCGTCCCCACGGCTTTCCCACATTTTATCATTAGCATATTATTAGGTATGATAAATTACAAATATCATCCAAATATCCAAATTTACCAAAAGTCAGAAAGACCCAAAATTATTAAACATCCTTAAGAAATTTACACTTCGATAGACACAAATTATGATGCAAATATCCTTAGCAAAATTTACAATGAGAAAATAGATATCAAACATTCAAAGGCTTTGTATTCATTGCGTCCTATCAAAATAAATTATCATCTCAGATAATAAAGAAATAATTTAATTGGTCTATTTCGTAAAATCTACTTTGTATTTACGCACAATTTCCTAACATAAATGCCACAAAATAGTAACGCAACGAATTCAAGCACCTGTTAGATGTGCTGGTTAGATCACGGCATGAGACCATTTGAACCGCAAGAGATTAGCAGATAATAAACTTCTTGAAACTTATATTATTAATTCCTGAAAATTAAATTAAATTATCCTTGGTAATGTAGGAGAAGGACAAGGTAACATAAATTTAGTGTTGACTAACCATGATATAATTTAGGCAATACTAAATACAGATTTGGATCAGATTGGCACGCAGCAAAAGAGTAGCCTGAATTAACATTATCTGCAAGAGAATCTGTATCATCTTGCCATAACATACACATGTTTCAATTATTTTATATTAAACATGTGACAGAATTTATGACCGGACTAGGTAGATTGTTACGCTGTGCTGTAAATAGAAAAAAAATGTGGTATAATAGCAATGATCTTCTCTTATTGTAACTAATTGGATTATTACTAGTTATTTAAATGTGTGTTAAGGAGCTTTGTTATTAAAATCTCCTTTTTGTCCCAGATTAACTGGTTTTGATTATAATGGGAAAGTCTAACCTACTGAATAGTATATTTTTATACTCAAGTTAATTTATTATTTTTACAGGCTCCCCAATTCATCAGTTTCGACGAAGGCAAATTAGGAGTCAACTTTGGTGGATACCACGCTGCGGTCGGCATCGGTGGGCTATTAGGTATGAATATTAGCATATTATATCGTTTACTTAGCTTTTTGTTACGATGACAAATAACAGATAGAAATATTTTCTCACGCACTAATGACAGGATCAAAGGTGAAGTGAAAAAAGTGAAGCAGTGAAAGTAACTTATACAAAGTTTATTTTTGTTTCATTTGATGAAGTTAATTAGCTCGATACTTTTTGTTGCGGATGCAAAATTTTTGATATGGATTTCAGGATATTATAAAGAAATTTCAATTTAAAGTTCTTAAATAAATGAAGATCGATTTAATTTTTATGTTTATTTAATCATATTAAGTTTAAGGACAAAACTAAAAAAATACAGTTTTCAGTCTTACAGTGTCACTCTGGCTCCACCCACTTTCTTCCGATAATGTTATTTGTTGATATAAATAATAATAAATCTGTAAAAGCTACTCATCAACTGATGCAGATGTAGATGAAGATATCTGAATTAATTCGAATATTCGTAATACACTGCTTAATATTAATATTTTTACCGTCATATTGCAAGTTTTTGGGCTAGGTAACTCTAGACAGGCTGTTATCTGAAACCTTGATCCTATGAAGTATTGATATTTAGCCAAAATCGGGCATAATAAACAGTTTTATTTGGTCGATTAAAAATAGCTTAATGGAGAGTTTTGCAAGTAGTACATTTTATTATAACCCTTGATTCGAAGTGAGTTAAGATTTTTTTGAAACAAGACAACACAAATACTAAGTAGGTCTATATAATTACAGTAGGTGACCAGATGAGTGTTATTATAAGCTAGAATTCTAAAAGTGTGAATTCATTTTCTCAGACTCGTCAAGTCATTTTCAATATACATAGGTCGTAAAGGACACAGAATATGTATATTTTAAAAAAAATGGTAATGGGACTGCTGTTTCTTCAAGTACCATTTTTTTTACTTCCACTGTTAAGCCAGCGTATTTCCATCGATGTTTTACGGACGAGATTATTTCGTTTTCAAATGCTTCTTTAGGGTACAAACAATATACTATATACAAATTTATTACCCGCTAGCGATAACCTCTACTAGAAAATGTTACTTAAAGTTTATCTTAAAATGTGATAAACTAATAAAATGTAAAACTAGTATGCAAGCAAACAATTTGAAAATCTAGTAAAAGTTAATTTCAATATAATCATTGGTCTTTGGCTAGAATTTTGTTCAATTTATTGCCATAAAATCATCATCATCATCAGCCTATTAATGTCCCCACTGCTGGGGCATAGGCCTCACCTATGAATGGAATAGGGAGATTGGGCCATGACCTACCACGCGGGCCCAGTGCGGATTGGCGGGTGCTAACGACTGAAGATGCAGGCGGTGCCAACGGCTTAACGTGCCTTCCGAAGCACGGAGTAACTCGAGACAGAAGATTTTTGGTCACCCATCCAATGACCGACCACTGCGAAAGTTGCTTAACTTCAACGATCGCAGCCGAACGCACTAACCACCCGCACCATCCAGCTCCTCGCTATAATCAGCCGATACCATGCAAAAACCTCATAAAATAGGCTTCCTAATTTATTATACCAGGTTCTATATAACATTAAAAAAAACTGCTAACCCCACTTTTCTCTGATGCTACGAGGCTTAGCATTTCGATATCATTCATTATTATAATACAATATAAATAACATTTATAATTTCAGGACAAAATGGAGGCGCAGGCGGTGGTTTATTCGCAGAAGCTGGAACACCACATGGACAAGCTGCCAAAGCAGGACTAGGTGGTGCCACTGATAATGGTGGATCTGCAGGTAATATTTTAAGATAACTATGAATAAACCAATCATATCTGAAACGACTTAAAAAATACCACATTGCTCTCTCGTAGGCGGACTCTTCGCTGGTGCCACGGCAGGAGGAAGCGTAAAGGCATCTGCTGGTTTAGCTGGAGGTGTAACCGGGGAAAAGTCAGCTGGAACTGGCTTTGCGTCTGCGCAAGCAGGAAACCACTATGCATCATCAGGACTGGTACGTGATAAATCAGCAAAAAAGAAAAGAAAGGAAGAGAAACGAAGGCGCGCAGAACACAAGAAAATATTACAAGAATTAATAAACTAACCGGTGGCATGGACAGTGTGCTGTTTACTAATAATATTTGTTTTATGTATTATGTACTAACTTTTATAATAACAATAAAAAAGTGATGGTTGTTAACAAGTAATATTGTTTTACACTACCCTTAACTGCAAATCACGTAAAAACTGCCTAGAGACTTTTAAAAAGGTAAAATAAATATTTTTATTTGTTTAATCTGGCACATAAATCACTAATATTTGATAATGCTAAATGCATGTAATATAACTATTTTCTCACGTGCAATGGTGATAAAAGTATTTAGTATATTCTGAAGCAATATTTTCATTCTCAGGGAGGAGATACTTCAAATTCAGGAGCATCTGGCTTTACTTTCTCTGGGACTAAATCTTTTGGATTAACTAAAGGAAACGTGGATTCTTCAGAAATAAATGTAAAACCAGTACAAGCAGAACACAAGAAGGTTCACAAAGAATTCAATTTTGATGCCACAAACGAAGTAAACTTCGTACCTTTGGGATCCAATACTAATGTAGGCATTCAAAAAGATGTTGCTGTTAAAACTGATGCTCAACCTCAAGTTATTATTAAGGAAGTGAGTAGTATGCATGTACCGAAATTTTATAGAAACAGATTTGCTAATAAGGATTTTATGAGCTTCCAATTTAGAGTATCTCCAGTGAATTACAGGAATGCAATGTGGGCGAAACCCCATTTTCATAATACATATCAAACTCAGGTTGGTCCTAAATTGTAGTATTAAAAAGAATTGCACAATATTTTTGGCCACAGGACAGCCGGAAAACTTTTCACTTACATGTACATTTGTGTTACTTTTTGATACCACTATCATACCCATTTGGACTTGGAGTCATCAATCCAAGAAATGCAATAAATGTCTGTGCTCATATTGAAATAAACCAAATCAAAATGATAAACAAGTAATAAAAAGTAATATAAATAATATTAATTTTTAGGTATATGTACAGTCCCCACCACAAATCATAGAGAAACATATTGTACATAAGCACAGTAAACCTCGTCATCATTTCCGCACTGCATACTTTGGGGGCTTCACTGGCAGTAATGCTGAAGTGCCTGTTTCTCCAATTCAAAAGAGGATCGACGTAAATGTCGACGCAAGCGCCAACGGGGGAGCAGTAGCTGAAACTGACGTTAATGGAAGTGGACATACCTACACAAAACAAGTGACATTCCAGAGAAACCCTAATTTCTTTGCTGATATTTTTAATGTAAGTACCTAACACGATAAAGTGAAAACTAACAATAAAAGTATAATCATCTGTTCCATTTATGTTAATATAATCCATTTTAATATTAACGAATGTTTGATAAAATAGTGATTAAGTTCAATAATCCAATTTAACACTACAATATTATTTTCAGATTCCCATTTCAACATTAAAAGCAGTGGGTAATTTCCTCGGTAACACGGCTGGAAGTACAAACGTTTCTGTTCAAAAATCTGGATCTATTCAGACAGGTGTTTATGGATTTTAATACTTCAAATAAGTAATAGGTATTATAATTAAATGTTGAACTTTAGTTTTAAGCATCTCTATAATAAATACGTTTTTTATATTAAACGATTTTTCTAGTGACTTAGCACTATCGATTTTAATTTATATTTACCGTAATTTTATAGCTCTGAAAACGTGTTTGCTCTGCTATGGGGAAGCCGTGAAAACATAGTCTTTCCTCACATATCCTTCATATCTCCCATGATATTCTATACCAGCATTTACCTCCCATGATATTGTATCAGTTTGATCTGACACAAACAGCATTACAATTTTTGGAAACAGGAAAATAATAGCATGTTTAGAAAATACTGATACCATTGTAGTTCTTCGCTCTAAATGTTCATCTGCTTATCATAAATTTATATATACAGCCATTCTAATTAAGTTAAATATATTTATTTTTAAATAATATTTTCAACTCTGCTACAGACTCAGGTTCGATTTCACCAAAGCATGCTGAAAAATCATCCGATTCATCTTCAGAAACCCATCTTTCTATTCAAACTCCAAGCATATCAAAAGTCATTGACGATATTTTGGCTGTAAGTTCATAAATATTATCTTTATAATTCATCAAATGCATGCAATTTATAATGTTGGACTATTTTTTTACTAATATGTGTGCTTAGCCCCTCGTTTCCACCAAGAAACAAGTCATATACTATTTTTAAACAGTACACAACAGAATACTTGTTGTGGATGTTTATAACATTCCTTCATTTACACTGCATAGACAACTAGTATCTTACAAGTATAAATGACTTATTTACTTCACATATTTTGTTTATGAGACAAATTTGATGCAAGTATTATATACTAGATGTTTTATACATGAAGGTATGTAAGTGTGAACAAATAATTAAGACATTGGATAAAATTTGTTAAATACATATATTAACTTTACCTTTACCTTGGTGTAAACGAGGGGTTAGATGCTGGCTAACTTAAGTTAAGGAGCTATGCGGTGCAGCAAACAAATTTCAATGCAATACATTGGTAGCTTGCTTAACTTATCTTCACTTTTATCAAATTTTACTAACACTTTGACATTTTGGTGATGGTTCAATGTCAAATAATCTCGACGTGTGGTATTGCTATTTTATAATTGATTTATTTTAAATTTTGACCTCCTGATAATTAATCTGCATTAGACTCATTCCAGATTCTCTAATCACATGGTCGCCATGTTAAAAGTACAGTAAATTTTAACGACATAGTTAGAAATCGATAAATATACATGACATAAATTTGTCATTCTTGATTCCTAGGGCAGGTCCCTACCTGTCCTAGGAATCAAGAATGTTTCTCTAAACACCTTTGATTCCTAGGACCCTAGATACTCGATTTTAGGCTTCTTTATGTTCCCATATCGTCTGTCGACCTATACATAACCGTAGGTTTTTGGGTCGCTGACTATTATCAAACGTCTAACTCTGTCGTTACATTATTTCTATAATAAACCGTTCATCATTACATTTTCATAATATATCGGTCAAATTAATTAATCAACAACCTGTCATTTTAATTCTTCAGTAGGCACCCCTCTTACTTTTCTTTCATTCTTTAAAATGTCACTAACCTTCACACTACGCATACTTTTAAAGAACGCAGTTCTAATATTTCATATATCTACCGAATTCTTAAGATTAAGATAACGTACTTCATGCGTGTTAATTTTAATAATAAGATAGAAACCCTTAAGCGTAATTCCTTGTCACTGTTCGCTGCTGCCGTTAAGTAAATATTTTGCAGACATAAAGAAGAAAATCAGACTTAATTTTAAACAGCTAACACATGTTTTTTATTAAGGTAAAGTAGAATTCAATGGTAAAAAATACTTATCACATATTGAAGGACTAAAAAACTTGGCCATCGATCAAAAGAAGTCGTGACTGTATTTAAAATAAAATATTTTAATATGTATTCAAGTTCTATTAAATTTTTAGTATAATTTTAAATTTTAAACTAATTTAAAACCTAATAAAAAACATTTCAATTATCTTGTTTCGACAATATAATCTTAAACAAGCTTTACAAAGCTCGATTAGTTTTATTGTTACACGTTTTTTGACGTTTTTAAAACCTAGAAATAGTTTAGTATATAATATAATGTGCGTGGAAGAACATTTTATCGGTGTTCAACTTAATGCTTAATTGAAGGTAGCTTATTGTAACGCTAAAAGTAAAAACAATAGGATGATACTAATAACAGGTAGAGTCAACAAAATTACCGGTTTAGATTTAATATGTGTGTATAGTAATTAAACTGGTAGTTAATCCCATTTAATTTTTAAATTTTGCAGTTTTGTTTAACTATCTAATGGATTTAAAATTGCTGATTTTTGTGATAAAGAATCTGCTTAAAAAATAAGTCTTTAAATTGACGGGAATTGGTGTAGTGTATGTTTTTTCTTTTTTGGAATCATTAATGGTAAATTGCATATTGATTGGTAAGTAATTTATGTATACAGTATTAGTTTATAACTTGTTCAACAAAACTTACAACACTAAATAAGGATGATGACAATTATTTTTCTTAGTCTATCATTATTATCAAAAAGTAATGGACACGTATTTTTGTCTTTTTTCACATACTTAATGAAAACATTACAAAAATATTTCGATTTGATTGATTTGAAATATCGCATGGCGTCACGACTTGGTACAACTTAAAAGTGACGTCACGATGGGCTCCCTAAATTTAAAGCGCTTGATCCTTAATACTACTGTATTAAAAAAACTTGCGAGCTTCATTCAAAGAAATACTTTTTAAGATTAATTATAATTTTGCTGACATAATCTTTGCGAAATTTGAAGAACAATACGACAAAACATTAGCATTTTAGAAATCTGTATTCAAATATTAATTTAAAACATAATACTTACTTTTAACTTTGATATAAATCAAATAATCAAGAATACAATTCAATTTCCTTTCTGTCTTGGTACACAAAAGCAACGCACAAATATGTTTATTTCGTATCCTAGATCACATTACACTTTTGCTTAATTAAGCACCTCAAAATTTCACTTCTATTTCTAGATCCCAATTAACACCCTTGGAGCTGTAAACAAATTTTTAGAGAACAATGTTCCAGCAAGGAAATCCGTACAGGTATTTTTGCCTCATAAAATATTTTTTTATTTTATTAATTAATTTTATTTATGCTGAAAATGGGTAATTTGCAAAAAGACATTGGGACCTCAGTTCTTATATCCAATCCCCTGATTACTTTCAGGAAAAAGCAAAATTTCACATTGAAATATGTCACGGTGGCAGTTTGAACTATTCTTTGGCACATTTTTTTGGCAAGGAACTCTTCTCACTTGTGTGAACAAAGTGGAGTGTGTAAATCCATACTACTACGATAAAGTGTGTATAGTCACCTCTGCACGCTATAACCACGATCTTAAGCAACCATTTCGAAGTAAAAACATTATTGCCATATTTTAAAAGGTGCAAAGAATGAAATTATGATTTTTAATAAGGCAGTACATACCGATCTGTAATTATTTTTGAAGTGACACTTTTTTCTGAAGCCGGCCGGTGGCCCATGCACATAATCTCAAATATTGTTGAGAGGGGTCAATCATTTTGGACAAATTATAAACTTTTTGTTTAATGATAAAATGCTTTTACTTATTAAAGTGTTATACTTGGCTAGGAAAAATAAAAAAACTTTTGAGTCCATATATGGCTCGTTATGCGGTAATGGGTTAAGTAAATTAACCTTTAAAGCCAAGAACTTTTACACAGTTAATTTGTGGGCAGGTCTCGGTCTACTTCTACACCACTGTGATAAACCATTTACCGAATTACAATTCATTGATAACACCTTATTGATTAAAATTGGTATTTCACCAATTGTTTAATTTAAATAGAACATGTTGATCGAATAATTTCTATCGAAGATAAACGTAAATGTGACTTGTTTAATCTATTGTACGTATATTGTAATTTAGAAAATTGTTTTCAAGAATTATATATGTCTATTGTATCATAATATATCTTTAACTTTAATAAATAAATAATTAATGGGCATCATCAGTTCCTTTAGTGGAACAGTCTATTTCAGTCTCTTTTAAAGAGAACCATGTTAAGGTACCAATGGATCACCGTGGAGGGAGAGCTCATTGCAAATTTTTTTTTGTCCGTGTAATAATATATCTTTGGAAACGCATAATTGTGGACTTCAGTGTTTCCAGGAATATGGAATATGGATAAGATATAATAAGGTGCACTCCAGATCAGAAGATCTGCCAGATCTCCCCAAAGTAACTTATAGTAAAATACGTAACTAATTAATAAATAATATTATCTACTTCACATTACCGACAGGTTTCCGAGGATGGCAGTATTGAACCTGTTCGCAGACTGGGACCGCATGCGAGAAGGAGAGCCAATAAGCACGTAGTCATAGTAGAAGAAGAAAATATAAAAAACATTGAGAAATCCTCTTAGATTATAATAAGTTTGTATTAAAAGTTACTGCTTTTATCCATTGTACAAGTGTAGATATTAAGTACACACAATATAATGTACCTGCTTTTGATGACGTATTTTAGGAAAATATATTTTTACACTGAAGTTGATTTCGTTAATTTGAGTTTTAAACCTTTTTCTTGTTGTGTGTTATTTACTTCCTATTCTTATGAATTACATAATATATTTTCTTACACATCTAATTAAAACTAAAGAAAAAATAATAATAATATGCTGTCAAAAAATACCAAATCTGGTATTCTAGTTAATTTTATATCTTATGTTTATGTCAAAATGAAATCCAGCATTTTGGAAAAGAAAGAAAAGTTATAGTTTTTCGTAATACTGGGATATTAACTCAAGATTTGGCGGCACCAATTACTTACAAGCATTGTGGACTTGATCCCTAGACACTTTTGATGAGTAGGATATATAATGTTTATTGAGTAATGTCTAAATGACATGCCTAATCGAATTAGTTAATAAATAATTAGTCAATAACATTGCATACTCATCAAAAGGTTCTAGGGATCAAGTCCTTAATAGTTGTATGTAATTGGTGCCGCCATAACTTGGGTTAATATCCCAATATTACAAAAACTGTATTTTTTCTTCCTTTTTCAAAATTTATTAGTTGCACATAGTTGTGCTCCCTGCTAAATTGACAACCGTTAAAAAAGTACTATAACAACGTCATAGAAAATATGACTACCCAGTCGCAGATAACCAAAACAACAACACGTAAAAATAGTATGTTTACGGCTAGGGATGCAAAGTCTTTTGAAATATCGATATTTATATCGATATTTATATCGAAGTCAGGAAACTATCGATATCCGATATATCGACCATTTTAACTCGATATTATCGATATATCGATATTTTTTCTTTTTTTTTGCTTTGTATTAAGTTTGCAAAGCAAAAACCTATAATTAAGGGAGCAAAGGTTTCCGAAATATCGATATTTATAATGTGGGCAGGTAAATATCGATATCCGATCCGATATATCAGCCATTCCAACATTTTCTATATTTTTATAGCGCTGTAAGAAGTATCAAATCAAAAGCAATTTCGAGTCAAAGATATTTTTTTTGTTTAAAATGTTTGCACGCAGCCAAAATCAGAATAGATAATGATATGAAAAACAATTGTTATGTATTAGTAAAACCTACACATCAGGGGCGTGCCCATGGCTTTAGAATAGGGTAAGCCCAAAGCTTCCAAAATTACTATACCTATCTTACTTTCTTGGTTTGGCGAGCTTAAAAAAATTACGATTTGTATAAGATAAGATTCTTAATTTTATTTTGTGTTATATTACAATGATATTAAATTTTAATGAATCAGTAGTTGACAATTATCTAGAAAAAGAGGCAAGTATTTTATTTAAATGCATGAGTTACCATTAGGTATACGATTATACCTACATACGTTGGTGTCGATTCTGGCATGATTATCTAAACTTAAAACTAAATTTAACATCAGTCTCTCCTTTTCATTCTGTATAGAGAATGACAAGGATACACTGTTGTAGTTTAGTATATTTCTTGGGGTTATAGATTTTTTAATACATCTATAGCGATCGCTCTTGCGATTTCAAAGCAATAGTTATTTCGATATTATTCAATTTAGATAGTCATAGCAGGTAAATCAATTGATATTATTGTGTTTAAATTTAGTCCACGAAATATCGATATTTTGGAATTTCCGATATCGATATTATCGATATCAGTGAATTTCAAATATCGATATAAATATCGATATTTTGGTCTCGATATTCCGATATATCGTTGCAACCCTATTTACGGCCTTCCTTGACTTCTACATACCTATGCTTGACGGTGGTTTAAAGGAAGGCAATACCAGGAACCGCAAAAAACTGGCAAACTTTTTGAAAGAAGTTGTAATCTCAGGCATAGATCGAAATAGATAACGCAAGTGTTTATAATTCGCGTGCCAAAAGGGAGACCAACAGTCATCGTTTTACCCTAATTTTTTCTTCTAGCGTTCCGTCAATCCTAATGATTAAAAAATATCTATGTAATATAAACCTGTAAAAACAATTTAATTGAAAATGGTGACCGAGGTGCTTTTCTTTTTCACCACTTTTTTGTTCTCGTGAGTACTCAAAATTTGACAGCTCGGTTTCCAAAGAATAATTTGAAGTACATGCGGCGCGCCGACTTCAATCTTAGTAAGTAGTTATGATGTGAATATAAAAGAAGTACCTGACAGATGTGCATAAGTGCCAGGCGGTAAGAGGCTAGGGACGCCAAAAACTAAAAAAAATCAGAAAAAGTAAAGTTTAGGTGAAATGAAAGCGTCGACTATCAGTGTTGGATGACAAAACTCGAACAATTTCTATCCACCAGTGGGGACGTTAATAATCTTGGACGTTTTTAAGAGAGGTAAGTTACAGCAGATTTTTTCCGATCGAATTGGTGTGCCCGTCTGAAGCAAGACCACAGTAAAATAAGACTGCCTTTTGTTGGTGTTGTGTTTCTGCTGGTGAGTAGGTTTCCAAGGCTCTGCAGGGCAGGGGATTAGGTTCAGGCTGGCAAGGTGTAGATGGCTGCAGCGACACAATTTCCGCCGCATCATGTATCTTCGCGACTGAACTCCACTTAAACTTAACATTAGGTGCGGTGGTGTAATTTGTTGCGCCTCGTATAGAAAAATAAGGAAAGGCCTCAACAGTGGGGACATTCAAAGGCTGACATAATGATGAAAATAATGTGTTCTGTTAATATATAAAATTTCAGTTTATTAAGACGCGTAGACGTCCTGCGTGGCGCAAGTAGTATAATACGCCGGATTTCAAGGGGTAGTATACTCAGAGGTCCCAGGTTCGAATCCCGGTGGAGCAAATGTTTGTATGATGTATACGAGCTTTTGCACCTAAGTCATGGAAGTTTATAGGTATTGCAAGATAAGTGTACTTATATGACATATACATTGTATATCCGTTACTCTTATATGCCATTACACAAGCCTTACACTGCTTGCTCTGTGGCTAATTGGCGTGAGTGTTAGAAATATTTATTTACTGAGAGTCAAATACTGGACTCATAATTCAGCGACACACCACTTATATACATGAATTAACAAGCAATAAATGTATTTTTATGCATTCACTTTTGATCGTCATACAGTTTTGCAGTATATCGCTTAACATACCTTTTTTTTGTGTCTGGAAAATGCTTTATGCATCCTTCAATCACCGGGGGAGCGAAAGGAAGGTATTGAGGACTCCTCCTCCCTGACTCCCTGCACATTTCATCAAAACCGAGGGCTGGATGAAATGAGCAGGGCACTACCTACGCTCTGAATAGGGCCACTTAAAACCAGACAATACTCCTGCACCGGTCACCTGACACGCATTCAGAAGACCTCAGTCCTCCCAATGCGTATCAAGAGTGCGGATGTAGTCGTGGCACCTGATTTCCAATTGGCCACGTATCGCTTAACATACCTGCCTTTGGTAATCGAATAAGCAGCACTTTTATCGCATTTTATATCTCCTTTGAAGTAAATGTATTGCTCTCTTATTCAGATCATTTAAAATGGCTAATATATTATATGATAAAATATCATGGTACAAAATAGTAAAGTCACACAAAAATGTTAATTCATTTTTAAAACACACAAATGAAAACGACGTCTTTTTCGCAGTTAAGTATTTAATACACAGATTGCACCTTTATTTTGTTCTTCGTTATCTTTTCATCCTCATTATTTTTTAAGCTCTGTTAAAAGACGCTTTAGGGGTATATACATTCCGATCAAATTCAATAATAGCATACACATTATAACAAAAAATTGTTCCATACCCTGGTTTAAATGCACCAACAGTCCAAATATGAACACCTTCTTCTCGATACACAAAAATTGTGCAGGCATTCTCAATAGCATATAAATCTAATTTATCAAAAATGTAATTGCCTTTTTTGAATAGACAAGTTCTTCGGTCGTATTTAACCTTTGCAACTGCTAATATTATTTTAATAAGATTATTATTACAAGTCAACTTAGGCCAATTTACAATTCCTTTCGGGGATATGGAGTGCATATTCCAGATAAAAAAGAAATTTGCACCTTTGGCATCAGCTAAGATCGAAACATTTCCTTTAATGAATACCTTGCCACTTATGTTGTGAGTAGAGATGTCAACAAAAGCTTCTTGTAATTCATTTTTTATATATGGTGGATTAGGATTCCGACATTTCTCAATATTTTTCAAAGTGGTTGTGTAACCAGTCTTTGCTATGTTCAGTTGATAAAGTATAATCACTATTACTTTCAAAATTGTGAAAAATATCATTTTTGCTCTGGACTAATTTAAAGTTTAGCAGTTTATGAACTATGTATCGACTAATGTATGTATGAGAATAAAAATATTGGATAAATACTTGTTTGTGATATTTAGTTATCTAGCAGAGCAATCATAATCATTCTGATAACTATCGGATGTGCAACCACCCACCCACACACTATTGTGCGGAAAACAAATTATTCCAGTGATTTGTGTGTTATTATTGCCACAAGTTTAAAATGCAGTTACATAAAAATCTAGACTCGCGCACCAAGGGTTCCGTACAAACTCAATTTAATACATCTACGCGTTCATGAGAAAAGAGGTAGTAACTTTAAATTTTTCGAATATATATTTTATTATATGATGCAACTAAAAATTTACGGTTTTTGCAATCTTTCCTTTACCTGTACTATAAGACGTTACTTCGTATAATAATATCTGAATTTGGGTCGGTATCAGGGCAACATAACTGCAAAATAGGTACAGAGTTCTACTTATTTCTCGTGTTTTTTGTGTATTACTATTATTGTGTATTGTGTATTACTCTGATCTCATTTAACCCTGAAAAATATTCGTATACTGCACTAGACTCTTTATCCAATTAATCCTACCAGTATTGTTCGTTAAGTCCGATTAAAATTCAATACAGCAGATAGAAGGACTAAACGGATTTTTTTCTTCGTTAAGTCCTACTAGTAGAACTATACGGATACAATAAACGAAAACTACTAAATGAGCATAACTTTATAATTTAAGTTTCTTAGGTTTTCACGCACATCACTCATTAAAT